CTATACAGTTTTTGTGAGGTCAGTTTGGAGAATTTGGTATTAAATCATCTTATATTGTATTGATATTGTAAGGAGAAATTCTGTCTTGTTTACTCATGGGAGTTAAAGGGTTAAGAAGGAAGAAAGAAACGTTCTAAGAAGTGTCACTAACAGTTTCCAAATAAATGGTGAGAGGCACTGTTTAGCTGTTTGATCTAAAAGTACCTTGACCAGGGCTATAGTCAAACTCAAGTGGACTGTAATGCAGCACGCTAACTTTTATGACAAGTACTAACTTTTAAGAGAAATGGCAAATAAAAACAACTACAAAACTAAACAACAAGAATTTGTTAAACCACGAACACTTCGACTTAATAGACAAAAATTGCTAACACAAGTCAGGAAATAAACACATCTAGGTTTGTTTCTGAAATGCACTTGTTAAGTTCTGAGGTGAGTACTCTAAAAAAACTACAAAAGTTGGACATCATCTCACCTAGCGGAAAATAAAAATAATTACAAAGCTCAGCAACAACTATTTGTACTTCCAATGCACACTTTCACTAAAAGACATAAATTGCTAACACAGGTCAGGAAATGAACACACCTAGGTTTGGTGCTGAAATGCACTTGTTAAGTTCTGAAGTGGCTACTCTTAAAAATGACAAAAGTTGGAAATGATCTTACCTAGTTTCAGGCTTGTAGTAGAACAAAACAGGAATTGAAACTAGAATGAGAGCCCACCATCTGTACCAAGGCTCTTCCCAGTCTTCCCATTTTCTCTTCTCTCCTGGTTTTAAGGGCTGTCAGTTAAGAAGTTAGAAACAAAGACATTCAAACTTATTTTCAATTGTTTATACAACATAATTTTCATAAGCAGAAGCTCCTGGTTTTAACGGCAGTCAAATATGAAGTTACAAACAAGGACAAACACATTTATTTTCAATTGCTTATGCAATATAATTTGCATAAGCTATAATAATATAATAATAATGATGTCTTTATTTCACTAAAATTCTTTTCCTACAGTATAGTATAACTTAATTAAATTAAAATCTGTCATAGGTCTCATTTCACATAGTTATTTCATTCTAATGATTACATTCTATCGACTACAATCTGCTGCTTCCTAATCCTATCCTTAACTATTTCCAAGTTCAACCTAGCTCAAGGGAAATATCATGGAAAATCTTATTTGATTCATTTTATTCATTTATTCATTTGATAAAATACATATCAAAGGTTATGATGGAGAACATTAGGTGACTGAAATAGTGACAAGCACTAACAATTTCAAAAGGTTAAATAATATACGGTGAGTTATATTGCTTATTTAAACTTAAAATTTAACCTATTTAAAAACTATTTTTAAAACGATTGTTGTGTATTTTTAGCAGCTGACTTCTATCACATCTTTGCTTTGTTGATGATTTCTTTAACATGTGGTGACATAGATTGCAGAGAATGGCAGCTGTCAGTGCTAAGTTTTTTTCATAATCAAAATGAAAGGCACTTTGAAAACTGTACATGCACATGTACATAATCCTCTACATGATCAGTTGCCTTGAAAGTGCATACACATCGTCGAATGTTAGCGTAAATTCAAAATACAAAAGCAGTACCGAATGCATCATAAGCATAATGAACTAGGTAATATCTAAGAGAATTCACATGCACATAAACGTCGTTCATTTGAACTTCAAAAATCTAGACCAGTGCATCTTCAGATGAACTTTACCGCAAAAAGCAAAAAAAAAGAGTAAAAAATTAGAAATAAGTTGTTAAACTTTTCTTACTTAAAAGAAAACATCACTATTAGGAGCGAAGTCAGCTAAATATTGTTATTACAAGAACCTTTAGGTGGTACGCCATATTGAAGTGAATATATGACTTCCATATATTCACAAACGCCATATTGAAGTAGTATTGAATTGTGCTTGGATGGCAGAAGATTCAATAACTTACCTTCTCGTTGAATAGGAAACCGTTAGGCAGTTCTCTGTACTTCGTGAATATGCTTTGGTTCCGAGTAAAAGTCGTACTGAAAGCGAGATTTCGTCTGTATGAAGCAGCAGCCCTGAGAAGATTTCGAGCCGCCATTTTGAAATCACCTAGATCTCTTCCCAAGATGCAGTCCGGCTAAGATCTTCCCAGCATCGCATGCGTGTATAGATGGAAAAAAAATTTAACACAGGTTCAGAGAGGATGTGAGACTCCCGCTGACGTAAAAAATGTCGGGGCGGCTCATGTGAAATATCAAATTTAACGCTGGCCTTTTAAGGTTCCATATTTGCTACTATTCAAGCTTAACGTTTTCCGGGAAAAAAAACCCACATCCGGAAACAGAAAAATAGGTCATTTACACAAAACTCCTCTTCCATTACATTCCGACGATAAATAAGTATTTCGTTATCGTCATAAAGAAGTGTACGAAGCTTAAAGATATGGAAGACTATTCGCTACTAATCCCTCGGTAGATCTTCGAGAAATTGAAATAGTTCGTATAGTGCTGCATTTTCAAGCAATATTTCAGTTTCGACAATCTCTCTTTATTCTGACTCTACGAAAACTGCGAATAAAAAATAAAATATCTGAGCCATGTAATTATGAGATAATTGTTCCTCTCAATTCCTCACTAAAACAATAGCTATTGCACCACAGAAGTTTATTGATTTATTCTAATCTTAGTAATACTAGAAGTAATCTGTGCATTCCGGTAACAATCACTTAGAGTCTGATATACTGTTACAAACACGCCTATGAGACAGAAACTCCAAGAAAATGAAAAATACCCGACAATCAGTTTCGAATTAGCTAAGGGAAATAAAGAGAGGCACAGAAAGCGAAGAGATCGTTAGCAGTTTGAAATAATCTTCAACGTCGAAGCCATTTTACGGAAAGGTCGCGGCAAAAAATTGAGCCTAAATAGAGCTTGATTTTCGTGAAGAAAGGTTGACTATGGGTCAGACATTTGCTAAAGAGTACAAGGAATCAATAACCCTGGCCTACTATTGTATTAATACCTTTCTTACAATCCTCGGCTTTGCAGCTGGAACCATTTACTTATGGTACAGAGATCGAAGGGACCAGGAGAGGCGTGCAAAGGAGGATAGGGAACACCAGGAGAGGCGTGCAGAGAAGGATAGGAAACACCAGGAGAGGCTTGCAAAGGAGGAAAGGGAATACCAGGAGAGGCGTGCAAAGGAGGATGGGGAACGCCAGAAGAGACGTGAACAGGAGAATCGGGAATACCAAGAGAGACGCGAACAGGAGAATCGGGAACGCCAAGACAGACAGAAACAAGAGGACCAGGAACGCCAAGACAGACATGACAAAGAAGAGCGAAGAGACCATCAGAGGCGAGAATGGCGTCAGTTCACGGAAATAATTTTCACAGATCACAGCTGTCTGAAACGAAACCAGATCCTAGAAAACATATTAAAGGTAAAGAAAACTTTTGACAAATTGCCAATTCATTCTGGAGTAACTGGCCTTGATGTTTTGAGATACTGTCTCGCTGATGATCACTACCAAAATGTTTCGAGCGAATCACCCCAGCTGAGGGCCCTTCGTGAAGACCTCCACAGGATCTACCTGCCGCTAAGTTCCTGCTTTTCGTTGATCAATTTAGGAGAAGTGCCCAAAAATACGAAGGTAGAAATAAGAGGTGTAGTGGAAGAATTGGGGAATGCAGCAAAGCCTTTCTTAACAGGTGATAAACTAGAGATCGCTTTGACATGCCTCAAACATTTTGGTGGGGGCAAACCATATGCAGGTCCTGAAAGAAAAGTGCCTGATAAGCCACTTGAAGATATTGTTCCATATGTAAATAGCCTGAAGTTAGTTCATATTCCTCGTCGGATGCCAAACCAATCTGTTTTACTACCAATAGAACCAATTGATGAAAAAGATTACATCCAGTGTACCAATTTTTCATTAACAATGATGGGGTTTGACGAGAAACATTCCCTCAGGCATCTCCATCACATTCTAGAAAGGGAAGAATATACGACTTATCAAACTTGTATCGAAGAGTTTAAAGTGCAACAAGTAAAGTCACCTCTAAACTTGACTGACCCAATTGTCAGCAAGGATAGCCATAAAGAAGTTGTTGCAAAGGTGCTGCATGAGATACGTTATATCCATTATCTTCAGAGCAAACTAGAGTCACCAAAGATTGACGGAAAAATTGTGAGTATACTAGATCAGCTTTTTGAGGAAGTAATTAAGTCACTACCGTTAAAAAGCTCGTTAAGGAATTCTACCAAGCTACTATATGGATATGGAAGTTACTGGCATTAAGAAGAAACTATTCTCCTGTACTGATTCCTCTGTAGTTGACATTTAAAAAGTTGTAAATAAAGTGGAAATAGAAACAGGTTTTCCTTGTGTTCCTACTATTTACAAAATTGAAGGAGGTGGGTGGGGGGGGCTTTTTCGAGAGGGGCACTTGTTTGACGTTATGACCTAACAGGTGGGTACTTATTTGGAGGGGGGTTTGGTGCTTTTTATGGGGTGGGTGCTTATTTGCCCAGCTTTTAGTAGAGCTTGGTCAATGTGTAAAATTGGCAGTTGCCAATTTTTTCAAGAAAAATTGAAAATCAAATCTTGCACTTTGAAAGGGCATTTGAGCACAATTTGCCCTCCCCCCCGGCTCTGGGGGGAGGGGGGAGGGGGAAAATAAAAAAAATGCCGGGGGGATGTTGAATCTTTGAATTGACTGACACACAAAATCTTTACAATAGAGGTGTGACACAGTCATGAACGTGCATACGAACCTAAGGCAATCAATCGACAACGAGATGGATCTAGGGCAGGGTCCGGGTGACCTGAGCCCCTCCCTTATTTTGGAGAAAAAAAAAAAAGGAATCGCGGATGGAAGATAAGCCGGCAGGGCAAGCAACAAAAAAACTGCCCCCTCCCCCCCTTAGCTCAAGATCTGGATCCACCACTGTAAGTTAACATCAGAGTAAGCGTGCAGAAAAAGCAACTTATGACTTCAAGAAGATCAGTTTGTCCAGGAGCCTATCTATAATTGAACGTTTGCCTCAACTCTTTTCCTATGCTGGGTTTGGCTTCCTCACAATTTCTATTCTAGGTACCAGTCTTTTTATATTAACTTGTTCTCGAGCACTAACACTATCATCTCATCATAATCGTTTCTCTTAGTATCAACTGTTTTTATCTCTTGATCCTGATGGAACGCAATGTTTGTTACCTCAAGTTTATTCCGAGATGGAATCTAGTTGGGTTTCCTCTCTCACAAACTAATCTCATAATAACTTCAGTTGTAACACTATGGGTTCCTCAGGAAGTGTGCGCTATTTCTTTACTGTGGGAATTAAAAAAAATCACCTAGTTATTTAAGCAATGACTTAACATTGATTCATTAAGGAGGAGACACGGCTTTAAGTGTAAAGAGGAGTTTAGGTAATTGTTTATTGTTTGACCTTGGATGCTGTCATCGAACCTGTCCCGATTATACCGAGTAACTTTTGGCGTTTGAAGAAACTCTTCAGTTCTAGTAACCTTGAGTAGTTTCTTTTTTATTATCATTTCTAAGCAATTTTTAAACAAAAGATAAGTTTAGAGCATATATCAAGTACCAAAAAGTCAATAATTTTGTAGAAAATTCCAAGAGATGTATATTTTAGACTCTGAGAATGCAATCCCCATATCATTTGGCAAGGTGTCAAATGAACCATGTGTTTTATTCCTTTGGACTTGAGGGCATCCTTAGATTCCTCCCATATTTGCGAGCAACTCTTAAAATTAAGTTTCAAGCTACGTTTCTTGATCGATGTTAGTAATTATTGTGAAGAACGAAAAATAAAGCTTTAACTAACGTTTATATAAAAAGATCAAGAAGTTTGAAATTCAGGTGACAGCTTTTTGGATTTTTGGAATTTTTTTATCATCTTAATAGCAGTCCAGTGAGCAAGTTTCCTGTATGTTTTACGAGTCGGATCTTGCTTAACAACCTGGTCGCTTATCT